CACCAGCAGCACCAGCATCATCACCAGCGGCAGCAGCAGTGAGGAGCTGAAGATGCAAAGCTGAGCGGTTTGGGGTTAAGGCTTCAAGGTTTACTGCCCAGGCCACTAACCAACCAAGAAAGTCTGGCATTGAGAGCCTCGGTGCAGGGCCACTGCTTGAAAGATCACAGGCTTCAGATGTTGCAGGTCGATTTGCAGACCGGATGTTTGCGAGGTCTGGCAGCATTACCCCTTGAGCTCTTCCATCAAAGTCTTCTTCGGATTCTTCGGAGGAGGCCTCTGAAGCCTGAAGACTGCCATGCCGCCATGCCCACGATGGAGGGAACCGTATGTCACTCACGAAGTATCAGAAGCCCAAACACGAAGACACGAGAACCTAAACGAACTCCGGACTTCCTTTTTCGTCTCATTCGCGCCGATGAGAAAATTCGGAGGCTTCTGCGCTCATGACCAAGATCGAATGCCACAACGGTGACTATAAGATTACGACAACAAAGAAACTCCATGGGGTGGGGTTCTGAGGCTTCGCCTTGGATTTACTTTTGAGGTAAGGTATAGGCGGTACAGGGTGTAGCCTTTAGTTAGGGCTTGCCAGGACTTGGCCTTACACAACCAACTGCCCAGCCCAGCTTCGCAGCACACAGCCCTCAACCCGAGTCCTGAATCCTATATGCTTGTTGAGCCTGAAAGCTCAAACCATCGCAACTTGAACCCTTCACCCTACATTCTAAGACGCCTAGGCCTGACAGGTGCAGCTGACATATTGATGCCTTGCAGAGGCTCGAAGCAGGAAGGCCCGTCTAAGGGCGAATCCCGAAACCCCCAAGTGTTGCGAATGTGGTCGTTGTTGCCTTTTTCGTGGTATAATGCTTGCCCGATATATCCTGGTAACTTCAAGTGAGCCCGATCTTGGGAGGAAAATTCCGGCATCGGGGCCAGGAGCCGCCTGGCTCTGCCTAAGACGAAGGCCTGGCCTTTTCAGAATAGACTTGAAGTAATCAGGGTTTAGGGCCTTGCAGGTTTGGGTTTCAGCATCTTAGGATTTGAGGGTCGTGGGCGTGCGGCTTTCGGTTTCTGGTAGAGAATGCCGTCTTGCTTCGAGCATCCTTGGGGCCTTTAGGCTGTAAGGATCTCCAACTCGGAGGGTTAAGCTGTTTATAAGAGTTCCAGAAAGAAGGCTTGGTGGCTGTTCGAACCTTTTGCGCTTTACAGTTGAAGATCCAGTGGCCAAGTTTTATAAGGTTTTAGGGTTTAGGTTGTTTTTGCTCTGGGAGGGTTGCCTTTCGAGGTAAATGGGGAGCCCGAGGATTTGCACATGGGCTCAGGGATGCCCAAACCTCTAAGTAAACCAGGACATCAACGGAAGGCTGCTAGAATTGGGGCACTGTGAGATTGTTGGTGCCTTGCATATCTTTGCGATGTGGCCCAAAGTCATCGGAAGGCCCCGGCACCATCTTCATACCTGGCACAAGTTTCAGACATTGCTGAAGCTGGTGGCCTAAGCAAACGCAGTAGCGCGGAAGTTCTTAACTTGGAAGGTTCTGTAATGGATCGAGCACCGAGCCAACAAGCTGCTAGGCTTGAGATAGGCAAATCTCATGGGAGCTTTGCTACAAACGCCCAGATGCAAGTGCAAATCAAGCATTTTGCCACCCACACAGGAAACACCAACACGAGGAGCTACACGAGGAGTCTCTGTCTTACTGTAGTCTCGAGAAGAACTTGACCCAGGGGATTCACCATTCAGCCGGCCATAGATTGGACAGTTGTTGCACCGAGGATGTTGAGGAGGATGAGCTCGATGACGATCATAAAAGTTAATAATCAGAAGACGGTGGTGATGATTACCACTGCGGTGAGGTGATGATGACGAAGACGTTGACTGTGGTTGTGGCGGTGACGCCGCTGCTTCTGCCGGCAACGATCCGGGGGTGGTGTTGCAGGAAAACCTAATGGGGTGCAGAGACTGCTCGTTGCGCCTGAGGTGCAACTGTTCGCCCCTCGTACACTTGGTATGCCAGTGGGTCCGAGCACGAGCACAGCGACGAATACTATTGCAGAGAAACATATGGGAACAGGAGACCTATCACGCGGTGTTCAAAGGCGGCGGATTCGGGTCTGGATTCGTTCTGTAAGACTTGGGCAACGGATGTGAGTGTGCGCAAACAGAATGTACACAACATGTCTGTTATGCAGTTCACGGCATCATACCACAAAGCCGGCCATGTACCATGGCCGCCAACTGTCGGACTTTCTGACTGCTATGGCCAGCTCCTTTTCCTCGTGAGGTTGTTGATTCTGCTGCGAACGTCTAGGAAGTTGCAAACCTAAACCGTGGTAAAACCTTGAACTTGGACCTCAGCATGAAAGAGTCTCTCGGCCAGCATCCTTGAGTTGCGCATCCCCCATTCTAAGCTGGACTCTGTGCGATACGCAGAAACATTCCCATCGTCGGCATTCGGCACTGCTCACTACGGCTACGGGTTTCTTTGTGTACATAGGTTTGGACTGACATGAAGCGATACATGAACACATGAGTTTTGGATAATCTGCTAGCGCTGCCCGTTCAAACACAAGTGGGTCTTACATATTCAAGGGGGCATGTTGCAGCAGCTAGGACAGGCAGGACCGACTTGTTCCAACAAGGTTTCGGCCTAATCGCCAGCTCAGCCCGACGCACCCTGCCCTGAGACAAAGGGGGGCTGAGGCCCTGGCAAAGGGGAACAGGAAGTATTCGGAGTAGAACAGCAGCCAGATGAGCCTGAAATACGGTGTCGGGGCTGGGGCTCGGCTGAGGCTGTAGCAGTTCTAAGGTATGGGATTCCGAGTTGCGGCTTGGGGTAAGTGTTCGGACGGTTTAGGGCATCGGGGTGTTCTGGCATCAGGGTATTGTTGGGCTGACCCAAGAGCTACTGCACAAAGTCGAGGACAATCCGGCACCCTCGAGCACCGGAATCCAAAGCACGAAGCCCGGAACATCCCCACGCTACATCGGGCACTGGCAGCCACACAGACCTCCACTTTGGTTGATGCAGTTCGCACGGAGAAAGAAGCCATGCCGTCAATATCACTTCATGTGATCCTCTCGCTCGCCAAACAGTGAACCTGGCATGCTTAATGACAATGAGGTTCACTCACAAGCCAGACCCTCTGTCAACAACAAGGACGGCGAGGACAAGCCGGAACAGGATGAGAAAGCGTGAAGGAACAGAAGGATGCCAACCTGACGGCCCTTAAACATGCGGTCCCTGAGAAAAAAAACTCAGAGTCCTTGAACCGAAAAAACCCGCAAGCCCCAAACCTTCAATGCGAAAGCATGTAAACCTATACCCATAACCGAAACAACTGAATAAGAGCCCTGTAAGATCCACCAGGAGCCTGTAGAAAGCCTTCAAGCCCTCTTGGCTGAACTTGCTCTGCTTCAGGCGCACCAGACCACGGACCTCTGGAGCTTGCTTTTAACGCTCCTCGTATCAGGGTTAGGATTGGGGTGCAGGGCTCACCGTCTTGTTTCTCCGGTGCGGACTTGGGTCTTTCAGAAGCCTCGTAGTGGTGTGTTGTAATGTTGAATTCCCGAATCCCTACAGTTTGAGTATGTGAGCTGTTCGCAAGGTGTTGGTTTCCTGTTTCGGGCTTAGGGCTTCTAGGATTTAGGGTTCGGCTTCAGCATGACACGTGCGATGCATGGAAGGGCTTCGGGCCCCATGCTCGGAAAGCTTCAGGCCCTTTAGGTTGCAGATTTAGAGTTGAGGGCCTTTCAGGTTCCCTGTCTCAGAGCAGGGGCAGCTGATGAATTCGAGCCTCGCCGGCCGCTGCATTTTATCATGACTGGGGTCGCAACCTTCCCTCGCAAACCCAGAGATGGTAGTTGTATGGAAAGCAGCAGTCAACTTTGCAAGTCAATCGCTACACTTCCAGCACCAAAGACCTGTTAACATACAAATGATATGGGCCCTAGTGCATAGTCTTTCCTTGCGACAACAAGAACTCTCTCAACCGGCCGGCCCTGGCGCGATCAGCTTCGTATGTCGGATGCAGAGCACCTAAGACGGACTGCCGAGGTCCAGGCCAAGAGCAAAGCGAGGACTGCATGCGCAGACCTTGGTGGAACTTCAGATCCTAGGCTTTAGGGCTTAGGCAGAGTCACTTCATTAGCGATCTTGGGGTTGTTGGCCCCGGATGCATCGGTACAAGCGAGCAAACCTATCTCTGGAACCACCTGCAAGATCATCAAGACAACACCGCTGCTGCAAGGGCACCAAAGAAGGCCCGAAGAGATATACGAAACCCTCGACGCCAACGAACAGCCTCAAAATCTAGGCAATGTAATTTTCTTACAGCCAAACATACCGGATTTGATTGTGGCTGCAGCAGATCTATCAAGCTGCAGAGCCTACTCGGTGTAATCTATAAGGTTTACGGTATTTCTACCCTCGGCCCTTCGTCGTGTTTGCACTCTGCCCTCGGCTCTCCACCCCATCCTGTCTGCCTCTTGCTATGGCCATCAGTTGACGTCACGGTAGCTGGTAGCTGAGTACTAGGTACTAGTCACCTGCCGTCTGAGCGCCACGCAGCAGCACGCGTGGGCGAAATGCATGGCCGGCGGGGCTTGCTGTCCAGACCTGCCGCTTCGATTGAGAACTGTTGGGGGGAAAATGGGGAACCCGAGTATGCACCGAAACAAACGGCACCCGGACTGCAAGGAACTTAGCGTTGGAGGGCTGCTGGGCGTTTAAGAGTCGTTGCCTTCAGGTTCGGACGGCTTATCATTGCTTAAGGCCAATGAGTCGTACGTAGTGCTTGAAGCCAAAGCCTTAACACTCAGGACTCACATCTCAGTCAGCCTTCGAAAGGAAGAAAGGGCAGGGAGTGATCTGCGCAACCTACATGACTCGTGTTACACGACCTATTTCTAATTTACCTATTGTCTGATCAGTCTTATCACTTAATTCAAACCAGCTTGATGGCGCCCTTTCTCTAATCACAAGAAACCACCCGGCCAGCGCAGCAGCATAGTTGGCCAGGAGTGCCGCCGAGGCGGCAGTGGCCACAGAGCCTGGCAACTTGGGGGGTCAGAGGATGACACTGGGCTCCTCCGCAAAAAAGTTCTCCGTGGCTACACCAAAAGCCAGGCCTACGCCGAATCTCGTGGCGAAGGTGTCCTGAGGCAAAGGACGGTGTAGAGTGTAGGATTGAAGCAAGTTCAGAGTTAGGTGTTTAAGGTTGAAGGTTTCAGGCTGTGGAATTCAATGAAAAGATGATGAGTATCATGTACATCCACCGCAAGCTCCGCTCTGTATCACTTTCACCCACACTTGCCGCCGAGGTTCTATCTTGTTTTCCAGATCACCCTGGACGTCAGGCAGGTCCTGCCGCAGCAAAGCTTGCTTGAACTCCTCATACCGCAGTGGCATACCGAGTTTCAGGCTCAGACTGAAGGCACGACGAGCCAAGCCCTGACTAAGAGAGGCAAACACAACTCAAACAGTCACCAATACTGCTATTCTGGACGGCGAGTGCTGGGGCTTGATTTGGCCTTCAAGGGTGAGGGGCCTTGACTGGGGATTTCAAACTCAGGCTGAGGCTGAGTGTAGGTTTAAGGTTGTTGTACTGAACTATTTGCGGGCTGAAGGGCTCTGGTCACGGGCTCAACAACATGTCAGATGCATAGGGACTATTGAGTTCAGGGTTTAGGCCTTGAGGTGTCGTCAGGGCTGAACTCAAAGGCCCTCTTCACACGTACGGAGTCCTGGGGTCCTAGGGTTCATCCCTGCCCTGGGCAATGCTCATAAAGTTGCTTGAGGATTTCGGGCCCCAGTCTAGAAGGAAAGGCCTATGAAACACTAAAACCTTGTGCGCAACACCGTTAGCTCCTAATAGGCCCTAACACCAGCGACAACCCGCTCTCAACGGTGGGATGCGGTGCTGTGGCCCAGGAGGAATCAAGATGGCTTTGGAATGGTATAATAACTTCCGTCTTCAAACCCAAACGCAGGTTTCGGATCCCAAACTTCTCAAACCGAAATAGGGGCCCTGAGCTATAGTACTAAGGACCATACGGGAGTTCTTGGCTACAAATTATATCCGACCCTCTCTAGATGAAGCCGAAGAGCCGTGAATCCTGGATCCCAACTTAGCCCTAAACGCTAAACCCCTAAACAGCTCCGGAGCGATCCTTCGTGACTGCTATGACCAGGGCGTATACCTGCATGGAGTCAAAGGGCTGCTACGCTTGTAGCTGTACGGTTTCGGTTTTCTAGGTTTAGGGCTTTTGGGGTTTTGCGGCATTTGACCTCCGGGCTTTAAGGGCTTAACAGCTCTGTGATTTAGGCCTTTCAGCGGCTGCAGCGATTTATTGCTCCAGGTAGGATACAAACTAGAGTCCCAACCGCCAAGCCCCGAACCCCAAAGTTGAAACCCAGGTACCTATTTGGTTGCTCTGGAAGCCTTGGGTAATCTGACCCCAAGTGAGAACACTGCAGGGTCTCGCAGCTTCGAGCTCTCGGCTTTTGGGGGTGTTTAGGGCAATGAGGTAGGGGGGTCTCGTTTGGGAGTTCTATCTAAGGTTGCGGTGCCACGAGTCTGACCCAAAATCACTGAGACTATGGGATAAGGGTCTTCATCATGTAGGCTAGCTAGAGTTGCAGGGTATATGAACAGAGCGCGTCAATACCCAGATCTCGGCTTCTTTGGGGCCCTTGCCGAACAGAAGCACGTGATAAAGATGGTCGGGTAGCTCCAGCCGAAAGGCACCTTCAACCTGAGTGTTGATAACTTTGGCTTTGAACTTCAGGGTGTTAGAGAGACTTGAGGTTTGAGGCTTTGGGCTCACGGTTTCTGGAGGGAGGGTCATGTTCTGCTCCAACGGCCAGAGGATCCATGAATACTCACCGCTCCTAAATGGGCTCTTCGACATTTCCGTGCTTCGTAGGGCTTCTGCGGTGCTTAAGAGTTGAAGGACGATTCCGGGTCCTTTGCAAATATCATTGGTGCCAGCTGTGAATACGAAGCCACCAAGACATGTGTATGATTCGCGTTTAGGTCCTAGGTTGCAGCTATGTTCTTCCAGAAGAGACGTGGCCATTTCTCCGAGCCTGCAACCGAAGGATTAGCCTAAACACCGGGACCCTGAACTCCTTGACCTTTGTAGCCCTGAACGAAGGCTCCGGCATGGCCCTCGTGGCATAGTAGACCCCGAAGTTCAGGAGAAAACCACCTGGACTTTCAAGCAGTCTGCTTCAAGGGTTTGCCTTTTGAGAATTTTCGGGCTCAGGGTTTCGGACTGAGAGATTCTGGATGTCTTCCTTCAGAGTTCAGGACCTTGGGATGAAGTTTTGGATCTGGTTCTCAGGGATACAAAGCAAGCGTGGGACTGTTACCGAAGGGGCCTTTAAAACGTGTTGGCCGAAATTGCCACAGAATGTGGTTGACCCAATCCTTGCTAACACCACATTGCCTGAAACGGCCTCGCACGAACTTGTCTTGCTGCGGCTATTGAGGGCTTCGACCAGGACTGACTGCGAGAGTTTTGCAAGGGGTCATTGTCCTCAAAAGGCCAGACATGCTGTGCAGCAAACTGTAAGCCGTATAAGACATTTCCACGTTTTTCCTTCAAGTCCCTGTATAGTAAAACGGAAGCTAGAAGCCCATTCAAGTGTTCAGGCCTCTACATGATCCTGATGTAAGGGTTCCGGGTTCCCAGCCTAGCTCCATCTACGACACTAAACTTTGTTGTGAACTTTTAAAGTGCCTTTTGACGGTGGTTCTATGGCGGCTTTAGAGGGGTTGCGAACTTCATCCCACAACAGCTGCAACCAAAGCAAGCAGCCGCGAACTCTGGCAAGCCCGAAGCCCTTGCCGTAACTCCAATTTCTGAACCCGCTACTATCATGCCATCCCTGCTGCTTCGCACAGACCTTCATCAACACTACGGCCATCGTGAACACGATCATGATCATGACCGTCATGATCATCATCCCAAAAAACATCTGTATCATGCGCATCCATCATCACGCTTACTTTGCTGACTTGCGTATTGATGGTACCTTTCAGCACCTCAAAAACCCAACTTTGTAGCCAATGAAAACCATGGTGATGCCACACCCGCCAACATCCTAGCAAGAAGCGAACTCAAAACGACGAAATCCCGAAAACCACAGTCTTGGTTTCCGGCGCACAGTAGCAATGATGAGGGCTGCGGCCACGGCCGATTTTTTGAGACGAAGGGGCCTGGGCTGAAGAGCAAAGCCGCTCTTCTGGTTTGGAGTCATAGGGGCTCACAAAATACAGGTAATGCCCTGAAAGAAGCAGGTTTCAATAGGCGCAATAGTTTTTGTTTATGTGTCCTTCAGGGCAGCAGTAAGGGTCCTGCGGCTCTGGAACCTGCTACCATGCAAGCTACTGCAGATTTCGCAAGAAGTTACGCTGGAGCCGGAGGCCTGGCAGGTAAGGCACAACTTAGTTTCTGAAATCAAACGACTCCAACATGAACTCCAAAAGAAGAGGCTCTTATAGTACCATGACAGAAACGTTAAGACTTATGATGTGGGCCCAGGCTAGCGCGGTTTAGAATTCATGTCCTCGACCTATTCAGAACATTGAAAGATCCCAGGATTCTAGAACCCTTAACTGGTCTCTGGGGCACCCCGCGGTACGCTGTAGATGGTGCCGAGGAAGAGGCCAAAAGCATAGAGAGAGCCGATGAGGGGGCCTCTTCTCGTTTGGGGTAGTTGATATTGTGAGGCTTCACATGCTTGCTCGGGTCGAGAACTTCTAAGTTCAGCCATGACCATTCCACGACGAGTGCTGCAACAGGTCTATTTGAGCATATCTGCCTTTCACATTCAAAGTCCCTGCACCCTTCCATATATCCTTGAATTTCCCCCTGGGAGCTTTCCGATTATCAGCCCAAATCCTGAACCGCAAGTGCTGGAGTCAACATCTCGGAGCTTCGGGTTGAGGCTCTAACAGCGTGGCGCTTCAATAAAACACTACGGTTTCTGTACAAGCACTCCGAAATCGAAAAAAACACTTGAATCCAGAAGCCCAGCCCAACTCCAAAACCCGTGAACCCCCATGCCTGGAAAACCCCCTGAACACCTAGGTATATGTTACAATATCGAACCTATTGCAAGGAGCCTTCGGGAATAACGTCGTCAACTAGTCAAGCCCTTTATTGACACCCGCTTGCGTCGTTGATCGCGATTTCACGTGGCCAATCTTAGGGGCCTAAATAATTACCAATACACTCTTGCGGGCTCCTCATTATGATTATACCCCAAAGCCCGAGTCTAATTATTCTTCTTATTATCATTACTATTACTTCTTCTTCTTATTACTACTACTCTTCTTATTAGGACTATTATTTTTTTCAAGCCCCTATATCCTAAATTCGACCGGCCAGGACCCAGGCCGAAGAGGTGAAAGGAGAGACCAGTTCCTTTTTGTGGCTTTGGTTCGTTTTTTGTTTGGGCCCGGGAATAAACAAAGCAGGAGCTCTCAAGGGGAATTTTGCGAGGGTATTTTCTGGACGCCTTACAAAATGAGAATAGGGTTTTGGGGCCCATTATACTATAGTTTGATAATTACTGTTAGGGGCCTTTTTCAAACAGGCTCAGGTTCCGGGGGTTTCATGGGCATGTTGTAGGAGATACCACCACAAACCCTTCAGCATACCCTCCGTCAGTGCCCTTGGGGGTTTCTTCGGAGTAGAAGTTTCAGGGGTTCCGAGTCACCTTGGAGTTCATGGTTGTGAGCGAAGTTCAGGGCAGTAACTGAAATCATTAGGGATCATTAGGGCGGCTTCAGAGTGTTGCAAGAAAAGGAATACTAAACGTATTTGGGGAAAGAAGCGGGGAATAACTCCCGATGGGTTTCGTGCCCAGGAGTGAGAGGCACGGACTGCAAATAGACGCAACTAAGCTTCAACAAAAGCATACACTGCTACCGCTCATGTGCTGGCAGTGCTGGGATGTAATCCGGCCCAGACTCCACAAACGGCCATGAGGATGATCAGCACCCAGGCCTTGGCCAGAACATGGCGATGTCAAACCGAGGCCGCAAGAGAGATCACCATGACGAGGATGGGCAGTAAGCATCATGGTATGGTAATCATCATGAGTAAAAACAATGGCAGTAGCAGCAGTAGCAGTGGCGGCGCAGTAGCGGCAGACTACATCCTTTACTCCGTGCTGCCACCCACGAAGCCACGGGATAGTCAGGTCAAGAAGCAGGTGAACTCAGCACCCGCAGCCCGCAAATTCGCACCTTAGCCTGACCCTACTCGAGGAAAACCATCTCCTCACCTCTGCAAAATCCATAGCCCCGAGCCGTAACCTATACGACGCAATACCCGCAAACACCAAAAAACAAAAGAGGAAGAGCAAAACCTAGTGTTCGACCAACCCCGAAACCGTCGAAAGTTACCTACTCAGCTGCTACGAAAGCACCTGTGGGATCGAGAGCTCCTTGGCAGCCACAGGCAGGAAGGGCTTGTTGATGACGTCCTGAAGCAGCCATGGCTCCACAAAGTTTGGGTTTGGGGCTCGCTCGGAGTTGTTTAAAACTTTGGGGGGACCTGATCCTGCTGCTTGGGGCTCTACCAGATTCCTGGATTTCCTGAAACTCCCATATTTCTAACCAGGCGCACAGAGGTAGACGTCTGCAACTGTGTCGACACACAACGGAAAGATCCACTCTCTGTGGCCACTGCTATGCTGACATCGTAGATCTGGTTGATGCCGACAATGTAGCCATTACCTGGGAGCAGAGTGAGCATGAACTCTGTGACACCAGCAATTCCAGTTCGCATTCCAGTTCCAGCTGTACGTGATGATACTGTTGGAGACGATCATGGCCATGAAGCAGAACACGATGATGGTGTTGATGTCGCTTGTGATGATGATGATGGTGATGAAGTGCATGGTGGTGATAAAGGAGGAAGAGGGCAAGGAGGCGAACAGGGCGGCAATCATGATCATCATGTTCACGAGCAGAAGTATGGTGGAGGCGATGAGAAGATGATGGCTGCAGCAGTGCTTCGGTGACAAACTTAACCACATGTGTCAAGTTGACCGGGTTCATTGACTCTGCGATAAAGGAGGAAGGCTGTGGGTCCTGTTGCCGATGAAACTTCACACCATGCTTGCCCAGATGAAATTAGGCTTTGTGGCACGTCAGTCTATGCTTGCCTGTACAGCGGGTGTTCATGTGAAACTTCTCGGCATTGCCTCAATCCCTAAACCGCTGCACCAGATCCCGTGCTGGGTGCACCCGCCGCAGAGCAGAGCCAAAACGCCCAGTGCTGCTGTGGGCAACAGAGACCTCTGCGGAAGCCCGGGCGAAAAGGACACTGAACGAAGGTTAAGGGTCCCTTTAGGGGCCGACACAAGCTCCTCACCGCGCCTGCGTTCCAACAGGATCAATTCAGAGTAACGCGCGAAACCCCTCACCCTCAACCCTTCAAACCCAGTCGCATCAGCACCAATCTCGAAATCTGCTGACACTGAGACTGGAGCCCGAAGTCCCCTTCGGGTTTTAGGTTTAGTGTCTCAGTGACCAGGGTTTTGGGGTGTATAAGACTACCATAAACAAGAACATAGGGACTACAAGGCGATATTATGACAATGACTCACACCTCTACATTTAAAGCGTGATTCGCGGCCCTAAGTGCATACCCTCTGGCTACTTAGCAGCGGAAGCAACACTGCGAAATGCAGCAAACGCCCAAGCAACTAGCATGCATTTGGGTGTAGAAATCTCTTGCTCTCAAGAGAACCTGCCCGCAAATGTAGGAATCTACCACAATCCCCTTCTTAAAGCTAATAGTTCGGGACCCCGAGCCTCAGTACCACAGGGTCCGCAATTAAATATCTACAAGAAGTCAAACCAAGGAGCAAAACAACAGAATCCGTAAACCGACACCTTACAACCAACTACTGCAGCAGAAATCATCATGAAGTTCCGCAAATTCCGCGCAAAGATGATTTGGTAGTTTAGAGAATAGGGATCCTAGCAAAGACCCTACATAGAATCTTTGGTATCTGACTCCCCAAGCGAGGTTCCCCAATTCTCTGAACTCCCATGCACCCAAGAGCCTAAAACCTTGTAGTAGGGCCCCCGATAGCAACCTGCCAGAACTGTTGTAGAGACTTAACAGGGAGGCCCCCGCAACACCCTGAACCCCCTTGCTATTGTTTAAGTCTCCGGCCAATCTGGCGCCTGCCCATTTTCGAGCACGGCGCGGCTGACCATAGCACTCGAGCCTGCCGAGATCGGCGTTCGGCTTCTGGGATTGAGGGGTTTAAGGCTTTGAGCAAGGGTCGTATTCTTTAGGTTTGTGTTTTTCAAGAATTGGGGGCGGGGGGTCGCTTCTTTAGGTGCATGCTGCAGGGGACGGCTCCAGAGAGAGTCACCCCACCCCTCATTCAGAAGAAGATGACCCAAGGCCCATGGTCCGGAATCCTTCAAAACCTGAGGTCCCTTTCACTCCACTCCTGAAAGCGAAATCCCCAAGCCCTCGACGCTGAACTCCTTGCAGGAATCCCTATAGACCACCGGAAAGGGGCCCTTCAAGATACCACTCCCTTACAGGAACCTCTGAAGCAAGCCTCAAATCCTGAACGAACCCTGAAGGGAACCTTTCAAGGAGCCTTCAACCCAAATCAGTTAGTCGAGCCGCCGAACCGCTTTCAGCCGCTAGCACCAAGTCACGACTCGTAATCCCCTTGCACCACGGTGCCTCCGACAAGACCTGAAGCCTGAAACCCCAAACCCCGAGCCCTAAACCCAAACTCTAAACTCGAAGCATTGATCCACGCTCCCAAACCCCACCCAAACCTAAACCCTAAACCTCAAACGGACAGCTACAAAACCCATGCCCTAAATCCAGGTGCGCCTAGAATGGTCCCCCGGATGGTGTGAGGCCTCGGCTGTGAAGGCTTTGGTCGGAGTGACGGTCTGAGGGCTTAGGCTTAGGCTGGACTCTTGCGTTTTGGGGGCACATCTCGGTCAGTTCACGACTGCGCTTGCTCGGGAATCCCAGGATGCTCCTACTTCGGCCCGCTACAGGCCGAGGTACCCACATGGTCCGAAACTCACAGTCGTGGGATGAGGCTCTGCTCATAACAGCGATGGGACTTATCGTGCATCCCAAGTGCAAGACGCTAACCCGAGAGCCACCGCATGGTCACAGCGTGAATGCCCGTGCCGACCTGCGTAAAACCACAAACATCCATAACTAAGCCTTACACTCGACATCCTGCATCCGAAGCCCTCGCTTTGAACTTTGCCCTTTCTGAGCATCCGGGCCGGAGGAACTTCCAAAAGGCTTTCACGGAGTTGCTTTTCTCCTCCTCTACCACCGCCGCCGCTCCTGGAGTGTGCAATTTTCGGCTCTCGGATCTGATTTGTAACAATCCGAAAACCCTTTCAGCCACTCCCAAACCACCCGGATACCAATCTTAGCCCCTCAGCTGAGGCAGGACCCTTCCCCCTGTGGGATCACAGTCTCGCCCTTTCGGGTAGAACCTCAGGCCTGCAGACATCCAGAACTACCGTCTCTTCTTTCGGAACCCATTCTGACTTCTTTGCCAACAAACCTTTGGATTCATTGCTGTTTCATGGTGCTCCCAAGTCTTTTTCTCTACCGCAACGAACCGATTGCAGGCACCAGTGTGCTGAAAACCTGACAAGCTTCTCTCATCTCCCCAAACTCAAAACTCGCACCGTACCCCCTCAGCTTGCGAGCTTGTGTTTTGGTCTTCCTCAAAAGGAATGAAGCACTGAATGAAACCCTTGAGTCGGTCCGACGTCAGCAACGAAAACTCCGCCCTTCCCCGCTACCTTCGGCCTCTGCCCTTCGAAGGAGGCGCGGTGGCACCTGCGGGTTACTCTGGTTTTCTCCTGGGGTGTGGCGTTCAAGCTCAGGATTAAGGATTCAGAAGGTTTGTGGGGGTAGTGCAGGATGCGTAACTGTTCTTCCGAGATGATTCTAAATTAGGGTTCTCTCAAGCTGCAGTGGTGCCCTTGGAAGTAAGCCTATTCAGAATAGGCTATTCTGATAGCCCAAGAGCTCCTACCCTAATGTCTTGACGAACTCAGGCAATGCCTTCGAGTGCATCACCTTATTCCGTTGGATGGAGGACCGGAAATAACTCAAAGCTTTGCTGGCTTAGGGGTCGTCTCGGGTACAGTTTGTCCAAGACTCAGGTGCCTGTGGCGCCCCAGGAATTGTCGAAACACGCCCGCCTTGCCCGCGAACTGCTGCACGCTGGCTCCTGGTGATGGCACCAAAAAGCCTGCACGGCAAAGGCGGTTGGGGTGAGCAACAAACCCTTCTATGACTTTCTGGGTTTCGACGGCCCCGTTTGCCCATCCGTGCTTCCAGCCTCTGTCATGCAGAGGTCCCCATGCACCTTCAAAAACAAACCCAAAGCCTGACCCTAAACCACAAACCCAGAAGCCCAAGGCCTAAACCTTCAGTTAGGCTCCAAAAGCCTTCCGTCAGAGATACATCTGTGCAACGTTAGACTCCAGAAGCCGCACAACTTCAAACATCAATGAAAGAAACCAGACGCCCTCAACCCTTAACACCTAAACCCAAACGCGTCAAGCGTGTAGCTTTATCCAGAAACGGCTTGCTTGGTCGACACGAGGAAATGAAGACTTCGGGCTGCCTGAGCTAGATCTTTGCCAGAGCAGGGCTGCAAGGCAGCATCCTACGAGGCCCCGCAACGGCCGCATGGCAGCCAGGCTCCAAATGTCTCCGGGCTTCTGTGCTCTTCGCATGTCGGCTAACTCTTGGAGTAGCCTTGCTGGGAGTACTGCTACGGTCGAGAGTCTAGTGCTTCTGAGGGTCGGGATATCTTGTAGGGCTGAGGAAGTGCAGACAATGGTTTTGGAGAGGCTCCTGGTGAGACCTTGTGTGAACTCAGCAGCTGCAATCAGGTTGCAGAAGTGACGTGTTTCCGAAAAAGCTTAAAATCGATCTCAACAGATATATGTAATCGCCCGAAAGCCCGGTCCAAACCGACCCGGTAAGCCCGTGAGCCCGGCATCCCAAGTTGGACCTCAAAGCAACAAGAAACCTGCACCCAAATTTTAGGTCCCAAGCCCCAACCCTGAACCCAAAACCGTCCTCAGCCTCAACATTTTAGGCCATGATACCTCTAACTATAGACGATGCCTCAAACTCCTAAGCCTCGAACCGAGATCTGCACAGCCCGGCTTCTAATTCGGCCGGTGCTTCCAGCTTGGGGAACATGGATCACTGGGTGAGAATGTGTTGGGGAACCGGACCGTCAGCCATGAAGGTGTTAACAGCTTGCTTTGGTTTTATAGACTGGGCTTGAGCTGCGTTGTCTCGCTGCGTGGCGAGTGTTTCGATTTGGGCAGGTCTCACTCGAAGGAACCGCCAGAAGTGCAAACAACAAGGATAGACCAACTCTGAAACTTGCCCTCGCAATGTGCGCTTTCAGGCTTAAGGCCTCAGGGTGTAGGACAAACAATGCAAAACACCAAAAGTCTGTGTATAACCTCCCACATGCGAAGGCTTCAGTTACGTTTGTCTTCAAGCTTTAGACTCTTCGGGCCCCAAAACCCCAAGGGTGACCTTTTCCCTGAGCGCCTATGAGCCTGTAGACCAATCCTGTGAACAGAACCGCATGCCAGGAGAGCCAGGAAGCAAGCTCTTCCTTGGCGGAAACAGGCGCTTTTATTATGGGGTGCGGAGAAGCTTCTTTCGGGGGGTTTCTAAGGGTCTTGTCTGATTCTTGTAGGCTTCCTAAGGGGGCCTACTATATTCTTTTTTGGGTTGTTCGGGTTTGCTTCGGTTTGGGGCTTACTTTTCGTCTGATTTTGGGGGGGCTTGTTTTTGATGGGGTTTGGGGCTTCGCTTAGTGTCGTTTGACGTAGCAGTCGTTTTGGTGTTGGCTAGCGGCAGCCCAACTTACTAAGCGTCCAAGCAGCAGGAATCAGGGTTTCTTGCCCAGGGCTTGGCGCGCAAAGCTCCATAAGGGCCCCTGAGGGGTTCTAATCAGTCGCCACGGCGATTGCCACTTTTGGCCAGGATCGTTTTTATGCTTTCCATCTTTGTCTTTATCAAACCATCTCCACGGCTTCCCATACTTTGTATAAGGGTGCTAACATTCTCATGATCACAACCGCTGTTTGGGGCTTTCAGGGTTTCTGTAGGTGACTGCAGGCAAGGATCAGAGTAACACTTCTGCGAAGCTCTTCCGGCGGTTTCGCCTTCTCCACCACGCGCTTGCACACCTCGTCTTTTTCATGCCCGAGCTTGAAGTGATAACAGTACAGTGGTAATGCTGCTGATGATGATGATGACGACGGTGATGACAATCTGTCGTTATATAAGTACAGGCTCTAATTTGTTGGAAAGTTTGCTGTTTCGTGGTTGTAGAAGTTTCATTCGTGCTTTGCAGAATCATCTTCACTCGCAACATCGCTGCAGTTGCTCTGACTTGTCGCGCAAGCAGCCCTCCCTTGTAATTTCTCCTGCCATCAGCATGCGAGCATATCGATGCCCATGAAAAGCCCTAAGCCTCAACACCCTGAACCCTGTGTCTCGAACAATTCCTACACCGCACGACCCTGAATTCGAAACCCCCCAAAAAGGTTACGATCCGACTGCCAAACTAGGAAGCCAGCTTCTGGTGGCCCGAGACAGCACGGGCAGTGCCTGACAGTGGCTGCTCAGGGTTTAGGGTATGATGAAAACGATTACCTAATAGCAACAGTCACCGGCATCAACATCACGAGCATCATTGTTGTCGCGATCAGTGCGTCGTGCTTGTTGCTAAGTGAGTCGTCCTCTTCTTCTCCTTCTTCTTACTCCTGCTCCTGCTACTGCTACTGCTAAGTACCTGATGCTACTACTAGTACTAGTACGAGTGCTACTACTACTGCTACTACTGCTACTACTACTACTACTACTACTACTACTACTACTACTACTACTGCTACTATTGCTACTACTACTGCTACTATTGCTACTACAACAACAACAACAGCAGCTACTACTACGCCTGCTCCTTGATAGCAGGCCGACAAGCCACGAACCCCCGGCAGAAGCTTGAAGCTCTTTTTGCTGGAGACCGGCCTGGGTTTGCGACGACCCCACTTGAAGGCTCTGTGACTTGGAAAATAGGGTCTCGATTTGAAACAACGTAACTATAGTTGCACTTTATAACCGACCCGACCGCGGAACCTTTCCGGGCCCAGCAATGGCCGCATGATCGACACCGGGTCGCGCCGGACCTTGGTTGGGTCATTAGGTTTTGTTGGCCGAGTCTTACACGGTGGTATAAGGGTGTTCTCAGGTTTTAAGTGTGTGTGGGGATTAAAGATTTCAGGTGTAGGGGCAATATCACCCTTATGGTCCCTAATGACTATATGCTATAATATGCCCCAAAACCCTATTCTAATTCCTTCCGCGACATTCTAGGGCTGCCGGTTGGGCTTAGGACAAAAACAGTTCGGGTTTTAACGCTGATCTAGTTGCAGGGGATAAGTGTCTGCTGTCTCGAGGATATGGGTGCAGGTTAAAGCCTTCAGGTATAGTCAAGCGAGTCTCAATGCGGACGAACAAAAAGCCCCTCTCTACGAATTCGAATACGTAGGGATTTGGTGTATAGATTACCGACTCAGAATTATTCAGGGACCATAACGGGGACTATTGTTAATCATTAATGTCGGCCCCTGTAGGAGACTCCCAGCAACTCGGTCGCAGGGGCCGGCGCACGCGGCAGACTTTGTCCGGGATCTTGCGGAACATCTGCGAGGGCTGGGGAATGGTTTCGAGTTTGGGGAGGTTTAAGGCCTTTTCGGGCACTGAGAAGTTTCTGTAGTTTGTGCCTATGGCTCAAGATAGATCAAGGCTTAAGTAGGTTTGGAAGCGCATGAAACCTGATCGTGCCCTCATTCCCGAAACGCTTGTTGCACCGGCTGTTGCCTGTCGCTGTGTCCTTTACAGCCCTAAATCCTGAACCCTCAACCTTAAACGCTACAAGCCTCCTCCTTAACAGTCCCACAACCAAGGCTTACATGTAAGGTTTGGGGCTCTTAACTGGGACTCACATGAACGGAGATACCTTGCAGAGCTCCAAACCGTAAGCGAGGTTCCTTGCAGCCGAAGAATATCAACAATATAGGTGTATACAAAATATGTTTCAGTCATTGCTTCGGCTGCCGATGTGCACTTTTTGAAGCAGCTGCGCATCCAGCCCGCCTGTGCCATGCAAAGCCCCCAGCTCTGGCAGAACAAGTCTGTAAGACAGGTCTAGCGGGGTTTCGGTTTCAAGGTCTAGGGCCTAGGGATACCGAAATCCGGTTGACAGTTTGATATCAGAAACTAGGAGCCAAGATCCGAGACTGACGCCTCCAACAGCAATCTCACATGTCTGGTCTTCACTGAAACTTCAAACAACGAGCACCAGCTTGGCCAGCACCTGGGGACAGTTGCTGCTGTCGGGCTCAGCCTAGCAACATTAACTCGGCTTTGCTGAAGACACGCGCCGGTCTTGGGGTCGGGGGCTCGGGGGCTGCAGGGTGCAGCTTTAGCCGTCACCCGTGACCCCGAGCCCTGCTCCAAAATAAAAATGACGCATATTCACAATAGACACAATATAATATATATATATATAT